GGTTGGGGATAAAGTAAGTCGGCCCATGTTAGTGCAGATAGGGAAGGGAACAAAATGTAAAAACTCGAGAGGTTATACATATGGAAACAAAAATAAAAAAATAGTGTCAGGTCGAATTGAACAATTACAATTATTTCCAATAAAGAGTGCAAATTCAGGGAATTATATCGATAAAAGTAGTGGAGACAAAAATGAGCATGAAAAAATACCGCGAAGTGATCCTGAGCGACAACGGCAGTGTAAGGAAAAGAAACGGATGCGGATAATCGAGAAAATAAATCTGGAGCGTGAAAAAGCGAAGGAGATACAGAAACGATGTCGTACTCGAAAATATAATGTAGGAATTGAAGAAGAATCGATGATGACGAGTCAAAATTCTAATTGGACCGATCAAGTTGGTGATAACTGTACCAAATCTAAAATTCAAAAGACGAAATTTGCAGAAATGGCTGCTAAACGGCAGGGACGATATAAAATAAATCAACACCCATTGGAAACGAACAAAATGATTTTGAAACGGAAAGAAATTGATGAGAGGCAAAAACAAATTTGCGCACGTAGAAATGATGAAACGATTGTAGAAAACAAATTATCGATCAAAATAGGTCAGAATTCAGGAGTTGATAATACTCCAAAAATGGAAATAGGAATTAAAAAATCATTTACAACTGCCCTAGTGGAAAAACCTAAGGCAGAGGCGTAACATGCCTGATCAGAATTTCGGATCGGACTTGATCAGGTTCTGATCCAGACCTGAACAGAATTTCCACTCGGGTATGAGTCAATTTGAGAGTGAAATTCGTAAGTGTCCTGGTGGCTCAGAAGGTAAGAGCACCCGACGCGACATTGGGAGGTCCCGGGTTCGATTCCCGGCTAGGAAGTTACTAATTTTTTCTCTCAAAAAATTAAATTTAATTAATGCCTAATGATGGAAGGCGGAGAAACCCTAGTGGAAAAACCTAAGACAGAGGCGTAACATGCCTGATCAGAATTTCGGATCGGACTTGATCAGTTTCTGATCGAGACCTGAACAGAATTTCCACTCGGGTGTTGCTCAACGACAACAATCCTGTAGAGCAAAGAAACGTACATTCAATACTGACAAACATGGCACTGAAAAACATTGGCGCGAGGAAAAACTGCTGAAAGACAGGGAGAGTGCCATAAACGTAAGTGTGATGGAGTACTTACTCTTGAAAATGCACGAATAGAACAGATGAAACAAAATGTACAAAAACAAAGGAGTTATCGTGAAAGGAATAGAGGTACCAGGAATTTGAGTAGAAAGAAAAGGATTATAGGATTATTCGTATACATTAGTTTCCATTGTATCAATAACCTCCGTTGCCTAGAGATGATTGAAAGTTCAGAACAAATGAGAAGAGATGAAACAAATTCAACTGTTTGACATATATATTTGACGTATTCCACAGATCAAAACAGAGAAAAAAAAGAATCAAAATACAAAATTGAAAAATATTATTCATTACTTACCATAGGTTTAAATAAAGTAAAATAAGAAAGAGTAAATAGAAGTCGATGAAGCAAAATTTCGAACGAAACACTACATAAGATATTTTTAGAGATTAAAGTAGTACATATCCATGCAGGATTTGCCGATATATACAATACGGCAAACATCGGTCCAATATCCGGTCACCGACTATCAGGGCCCGATGAAAGGCCAAACGGGCCAAATGTCTGTTCGCCGAACATCGGGCTCCTGATGAAAGGCTGCTCCACGGCCAATGATCGGAACCGACTTAATCTTTATAGGCTGTTTTTCGAATAAATGGATGGATAGCATGCATCCATCCTCTTTCCTAATTTACAGAATATGGATATCGATACCCGGAATGAAAGCCTAAATATTTTAAAAATAGTAAATTAATTAATTAACTCTTCTCACCGGACTTACGATTCCATCAACTAATTATTGATGATCGTATTTAAAAAACACTCTATGTGGTATTTATATACCCGAAAGAAATCTATTTCATAAGAAATTTCCGATGGCTCAGTGGACAGCGCGCTTGACTACAAATCAGAAGGACCCGCGAATCGAATCCCACCCGGGGGGCAATTTTTTTGTAATACCATTGTTTCATTTTTGGTTTACTGGAGTGGATAAGAAGGGTTATAAAACGATTATAAACTATTGGAACTAATATATATGAACGATTTTAAAATTTTGTTTCACCAATGGTTGGCTGGTAATCGACGTCAATGTTGGCCGTACATCGGTGTCTATCATGGCCTCAGGTAACGTCCCAACATTAGGCGGAACATCGGCCGAAGATCGCAACCGATTATCGGGGAACTCGGCGTCCAGTTCGGACACTTTGTGTTACCCTACATGGGATATTTCAAGGGTCTAAAGAGAATAAAAGGGATTGCAAACACTATAAAATTATTGGTTATGAGAACTTTAAGGATTACGGTTAAGGATTACACCCTATTAAACCCTTTTCACCAAAATTCATGTTTTTAAATTTTTCTGATAAATTGTTGATCGGATTGACGTGAAAAAATATACCGTTTTTGCGTTTTATCATTACTTAATGACTCCCGAAATTTCATGATCGTGTAATCATTTTCCTCCGTCTTTTCTGAAACTTGAAATTCATAAAACTTTAGGAAAAAATGCAGGAAAATGATTGCACTACCATGAAACTTCGTGAGTCAGTCAATAATGATGAAACGCAAAAACGTTATATTATTTCACATCATTCCGATCAATAATTTGCCAGAAAAATGAAAAAAAAACGTGANGAAACGCAAAAACGTTATATTATTTCACATCATTCCGATCAATAATTTGCCAGAAAAATGAAAAAAAAACGTGAATTTCGGCCGAAACGGTGTGGTACATCCTTAATAATTATTGTTTTGCACTCTGAATAGAATTTTGATGATAATTATAGTTAGAACATCAGTCAGTGAGTACTGAAATTCAGAATTAGTGAATCACTTATTGATATATTGGAATTGAACAGAGCATGAACCGTTAAGCATTGCGTCCATTAATTTTAACATTCAGTTTAATAAGACGATGATAAATAGTCAATTTTGAGAAAGAAACACAAGGAAAAAAATGAGGAAAAGTATAATGAAAGGGCATCAACGTCGCAGCCGCTTGCGGCAGCCTGTGAATTGTTTTCTACGATTTTGACAGATGTTTTTCACATTTTTATGAAATGTGTCCCGTAAACCCGAACACTGCACCCTGATCGGCCAAAATCAGAATTGAAGAAATTGTCCTCCGAATATCCCTTGACATTAAAACTTTATCGGATATTTCCCTCGAATTTTTTTGCATATCAACGATCGGGATCAGTTGCTATGCAGGAAAATTTGAGGGGAATATCCGATAATTTAGAAGGTCATGGGGTATTCGGGGAAGTTTTTCAGGAAAAATCACTCATGGTTCGCACTCTTGATTTTCTAACCTGAAAACCTTGACTCCTTCCTTTGTTTAAAACGAACCTATCAAGAAATTCCTTATAATTTTGAAGCTCTTATGGTATTACATACGAAAATTCAATGTAATATGACATTGAATATTCATATTAGATTGAAAATTCATATAAATGGAGTAATTCTCGCCTTTATGCCGTTTAAAATTCTGGTACTTTTCTGAATTTTCAGTGAAACCTGAAATTTTATAATTTTTTTCCCCTAAATCGCATTCAGTGTCACTATTCTGAAAATCGGTAGTCAACTGTTCTAGAATTTTCATTGTTTTTCCAAACAGTGAATAAACTGATCATATCCGTTCATACTAATTTAGAATTAACTGTTCATTCACCGATGGACTTGTTTCAACAATCATGCCAGGGTACTTTTTTCAACAATTATGGAGGAAAATGAAATAAAATATGACACAAAATTTTCTATGCTGTTTTTCACTTTTCCTTGTCAAGGGATTGACATTGGTCTTTCTGGAACTGGTAAAAGTGAGAATCACTATCGAAAAATATCATCCATGACCGGCACCATGAGGTCTACTACAGGAATAAAAAACCACATGGCAGTCGCACTAAAATATACTATTACATCGCTGATGTAAGAGTTTCTCAAGAGCGTCCACCTAAAGCAAAATCTCCACCATGAATCATGTAAAATTCTATTGTCTCTGTTTTGGAACAAAGAACATTAAATGGCAGCCCCAATTTCCCCAAGTAGTTCTACAATTCATTCATCATTCTTCTTTCGGCATCCAACACAAAGTGGGAATGTCGCTTGTAAAAAACATGAAAAGCAGCATAAAAAACGGCTGACAAATGCGTTCATCGATTTTGTTCCATTCTCACTGCTGAACTATTGACGTTCTGACAAAAGCCATCATGAACTCTATTACCCTTAATCGATAACTGTCCAAATTCGTGAAAAAGTTGAAAGGTTTATCTTGAATTGAATGAAGCATCTCTCCATAATGCACTCCTATTCCACTGTCTGTTCTCTTCAAAATGCTAGTCTCAATTCCCCACCCAAAGGGTATCAACTATCTGAATGAAAACGCATGCGTCGAGACGCCGAGCTGTTCGTTGAACATGTATCCATATCCCTCGAGCGGTGGATATCAGGTCTGTATCATATTCGGCAGCCGCACGCGGAGCCGAACACAAGCGTAGTGCAAGCTCACCTGAAGCTCGTGTTGAATCCTAAGCCCTCACTCTCGACAGCTCGAGTTAATCGAAAAAACCAAATCGTTAGAACATAAGTATGGAATGTCGCTCGATTATTGAAAATGTGTGTCGAAATAGTGAAAAGTGATCCGAGTTGACAGCGAAACATGACGATAGAAATGCTTACGCTTCCTGGTCCATGATATCATTCTCGCCGTCATCATCATCACTATTATCTTTATCATCAGTTGGATTTAGTGGATATCAATCAACAATGCTAACCACCAGAGTTTACTAGCCTGAACACTCGCATAAAGTCTCCATTAGGATCATTATTTCTATAAACAATTGGGAAACATCTGACCATCAATCATGAACTCAACATCAGACTCAGCCCTAGACTACAGATGTGGACCAGGTCTGGATGGCCTTCATCAGGAGTACGTTAAGGTCCACGGTTGGGCAAGTCTCCTGGTCTGCAGCTTCGGTTCAATCGCAAATACTCTGAACATCGCAGTTCTATCACGTCGTGAGATGTCTTCACCAACTAATGCCATTCTAACGGGTCTTGCCGTGGCCGATCTCCTCGTAATGCTTGAGTATATTCCATATGCAAGTCACATGTACCTGTATCACCGTTCAAGAAAGAATACCTACACTTACGGCTGGGCAGTATTTGTCTTGATTCACTCTATCTTCACTCAAGTCTGCCACACAATATCAATTTGGTTAACAGTGACACTAGCTATTTGGCGGTATATCGCTGTTGCCTATCCCCAGAATAATCGCGAATGGTGCAACTTCCGAAGAACTGTTATGGCTATTGCTAGTGCGTACATAATGTGCCCATTGATATGTTTACCCGTGTATTTCACCACGCAGGTGACATCAAAAATTGAAGCAGTGAATAGTAATGGTAATTCGGTCAACATTAGTGTATACAACGGAACGGAAATGCTTAAGAATGAAACATTATGGTTCGTTGATTTAAGTGAAACTATGAAAAATCATGGATTATTAAATTTAATGAACTTATGGATGTATAGTGTTGTCATTAAACTCGTTCCATGCTTAGCTTTGACCATTTTAAGTTTGAGGCTTATTCTTGCGCTACTGAAAGCCAAAAAAAGGCAAAAATTATTGACGAGTAGCAATGTTTTCAGGAGTAGTGAAGAGAATGCGGTAGAAAATTTGTATGATATAAAACCAAATAGAATGAAATCATCAAGGATACTGGATAAGGAGAGACAGACTGATAGGACAACAAGGATGCTTCTAGCGGTTTTACTACTATTTTTACTCACGGAATTCCCACAGGGGGTCCTGGGGTTACTCAGTGTCATTCTCGGCACTGGATTCTTCAGGACTTGTTACGTGAAACTAGGTAAGATTGTTATCTGTGTTTTGAGGAGAGAGAGGTTTGCTAATACTAAAACACTTTCAGTGATTTAGCGAAAAATACGGCTATTTTGTGGATTTCCATTTGCAAAGTAAATGTGATAGTGAAATAGTAACCGGAAATTGAATGAAACATATAATATACGAAAATAAGGTAACGTGCAAATAGTTTGATGCAAACATATTGCGCATCGAAATGTTACATATTGAAATATAATTAAGTGTATCAAGTAGTTGAAATGTGTTATTGATATTCAAATCGATTATGCAAATGAGATAATCATTATCAGGTTAAATAATTCACTATTTCTGCATCTTTATAAATTCAGTATGATGCACAATTTCCACTATGATATTTGGTGGTATTACATCGAGTTTTTGTTCTATTAAATTTGATAATATCCACATCGTAAAGTGACAAGGCTATAAATAAAACGCATAAGCATAGCTTCTATGACCCTGTCAATCTATGGCGACAACATATGATGTACTCCTAAAAAACAAAAATAATTATTTTTGTAACATACACTGTATCAAGGAAAATTTTTCTTTGCTTTTTCCTGGAAATGAGAAAACAATTTTCTAGAAAAATACAACTTCCATAAAAAACTTGAAAAGAATATAGAAACCAATGAAATTAACCAAGTCAGATCTTAATGAAAAATCAGTAAAGATAGAACCAACATCCTCCGTTCCATTTTGCCCCGCCGTTCATTTTGCCTCACCCTCCCCTATTGAAATGTTTTTTTTTTGTAATTTTAAAAATAATTGATATTTTGTGATGTATTTTTTGAGTTTTGTGGCATAGATAAGGCTTTTGTATACGAATTCGGAGACAACTATGGCCACGCTACACTGCGAAGCCGTTGTACGACGTGTTGAGTTGAGGTGAACGTTCAATGCACTCATACCCTGACTGTCGCCAAGGATATCTTCCGAACTGATGGAGCTAGAGAAAAATAGTAGCAATAAAAAATGTTGTTAATTTTATGATGCATCTTTTGAGTTAATGGACATTTAGGTCCGTTCCTGCTAGTTAACGAGATAATTACGGTTTAATGATCAACGCAATGCGAATTTGTCCCGCCATCGCCCGTAAAACGGTGAATATCTCTAAAACTACTGGAAATAATGGAAAAAGTCAAATAACAGATATGATGTATCTTTTTGTAACGAACATCTTTTCTTGTGACCATTCTTTTCTCCGTCCAACCATTTTTCTTAAAAATACTCCGAAGCGCGTTGCCGCCGCGCAATAGTGCCGGCGCGCCGCCCGCTGGATTTGCATCCGCGATATCTCTGCAACCATGATAGCTATGAGAAAAAGTTATAAAACAAAATATGTCCACTTTTCGATAAGAAACATTTTTTGTTTAAAACGTTTTCTCCTATAGTCAATCGTTTCTGCGATATTTCGTTTTAAACAATTAAATTGTTATAAACAACGAGACTGCTCATGATTTCGCATGAACGGTTTACATATTCGCAATCAGTGACCTCGAGAACATAGAATCCAATAATCAAATCTTCTGGACACAGAAATTTTCCCGGCGTATGGACTAAACTGCTCGTGGACTGAAGATTGTAACGTTATTATATTATTCCTTACATGTAAATTAATATCATGATCAAGGAGGACAACGGTATCCGAAAAATGACGGACATAATTTTTCCATATTCTAAAACCAAACACATCGAGGGGTTGAATTTTTCCAGTGGTACCTTTCGGTATCAACGTAGTTAATATCTCTTTATTTGCAGGTGTTGCTTCTCGTACCGCTTCAGGGCCGTGACCGCTCCACGAATCTATCAGCAGTAGACTTTTAGGTCCAACGTTCGGGAAAGATACTTCCTTCAACCAGGTTTTGAAATGCTCTAAAAATTGAGAAGATTTCAATGATCGTGATTAATGTCTAAAGAATATCAGATGCTCTTGTGTCTTGAACATTATCTTACCTGAAGTGAGTTTCCCCGATTTTGAGGCAGTGACTAAAACATTGGATGGTCTGAAAAGATTCTGCTCCACGATAGGGCCAAAATTTTCAGAAGGTTCTTTCAAAACCAGGAAGAGTGGTGACAGTAATTTGCCATCAGCAGAAATTGTGGGTTGTATCGTATCACTATGCATTGTTGAGGTCATCGATCGTACTATACATGCCACTTGTTTTGCGCTTTATTCAGCTAAAGTACGTCCTAAATGAATTTCCAGTTGAAAACCACTCTGGTCCGAATTATGGATGTTTTACGGTCCAAACTTGGCAAAATAAAACTGAACTTTTTGAAGAAATTCGTCTGATTTTTTTTGTAAAGTTTCTCGATTTTCTAATGTCTTGCGCGTGACGAATTTGTTAATTTTCCGAGATGTGATGCGATGTGCTTTCTTGAAATTATCTAACCACCCTGAGGAACCCTTGAAACGAATGTCTTCAAATCCTATATATTTTCGAGCTTGCAGAGCCCACCTGCGTAGGTCAGTGTCGTGAAAAATCAATCTCGCATCAATTGCTTTTTTCATATTATTCAATGCACACTCCGAAATAAGCTTCAACTTCTCCATATATGTCCCTCCTTTGTTGATTCGGTATGGCCAACGACGTAACTATCAACTGGATTTCACCTTTTGGAATCGATTCGGAACTGTTTTCACAGAAAGATTTTGTTTTGTCTTTGCACTTCTCCAGAATTCTACTGCTCCCCGCTTATAGTCAAAATCTACAGGTTCCTCATCTTCCGAACAACTTTCAGATAATTCTTTATTATGTGGTTGAAATTCTTTATCTTCAACTGCTATCATTTCTATATCTGTATAAGGCTCTTGAAAATCCAGGGATGTTTCTTCAATCATTTCCACACTATTGTATTCCTCCTTGGAAGTAAAATCGTTTGGAAATTATCCACTAATTGGCGGTTCTCATTGTTCACGAGCGTTTCAGCAAGATTTCAAACTTCAAATGTTACCATGAGAAGTCTGATGATGTTGATTGGATTAATTTTCATTATTAAACGGAAACGAAACACAACACTCACTGCTAGGCAGTTTTTCTTGACAGATTTTGATAGACTGATCATGAATTGCATGAAAGATGAAAGCCAAGAATACATATTTATCCCCATGATTTCAGTTTTAAACAATAAGAGTAACATTCGAATCGATATTATTCTGCCGCATACGATCCCGTTGCAGTCCTGCATATACACATATAAACATCGATGAAGTAAGACCACCTAAATTGTATGTTATTTTTAAGTTCTTATACTCTACACAATTTTCGACATTTCCATGACCACTGACCAAATTCATCCATTCCCAGTACTACCACTTGCACTGCTTCATCAGCACGTTCAAAAACACGTATTTCATTCTCAAAAATGCAGACGATGGATATTTCTTTTGCCTCCATATTGAGTTTGCAAAAACAAAAAAATAAACAAAGAAGGTACTCCGTACTTTTCTCATTCTGCTGCGAATAGTGATTTTATAAAATTTAAGATTATATTTTTTTCCATCTGAAAAATGATTTTCTAGGACGGTAGTTGGCCCGCACATTCCACACCCCCAGGGATCAATTTCATTCTTAATCTCATTAGTTCTTACAAGCTTTGTATTACACCATGAAAAATTTCAAAATAGAAAAATTACAAGAAATTAATTTTTTTCGCCGTTAAATTGCAATCTGTAAAGAAAATGCAAAAAAGGTATTGTGTCTTTTTGAATGCTCTTTCGAATGGAATTAGTTCCATGAAATTCCGAGCAACAGTTTTTTTTTCAATTGGAAAAATAATTCTTAACGGGTGTAGG